CAGTGGCATGTGTAAGACCAAGCCGCTAGACAACAATATTTGAAATAGGAGATTCTTGTAATGTTAAACCTTCCACAGCAAAGCCGTTTGTAAGTACTGTACCAAAAAAATTAAAATAAAAAAAATCAAAGTGGTATCCAAGTCACAACACAGACACGCTGAATTGGATCAGTATTATGTCCAAACAATCTGGAAAGGATTAATATTCCATCTCCTGTAACAGGCAGTGAGATAGTGCAGTTGTACAAAATGGACACACCCTGTTTCCCCTAAAATAAGACCTAACCTGAAAATAAGCCCTATTACGATTTTTCAGGATGCTCATAATATAAGCCCTACCCCAAAAATAAGCCCTAGTTAAGTGAAACCCCACCTTCCACCATTGTGCAGCATTGTGCAGCACCCAGAAGATGACATGACCTAATGATAAAACATCCCCTGAAAATAAGCCCTAATGCAGTTTTTGGAGCAAAAATTAATAAGACCCTGTCTTATTTTCGGTGAAACACGGTAAAATAATCAGAGGTTGGCAAAATACAGTCATTTGTGCAGCCCCCCCCCGAAGCTGTTTTTGTGTTCCCCATCCTCATACTTGTCCACTGCCCCTCCCCCACTTCTCTGAGGGTCTGAGTGTGATTTGCCGTTTAAATAGGTTGCAGCCAAAAAACCCAACTTTTTTTTTCAAAACTAACAGTGGCTCTCTGAGAATTTAGGGCCCCCTCCTTAGTTCTTTGGCTCTCTTGCACACTTGGAGGGGGACAGCCTTATTACATTTGCTTGGTCCATTGTAAACCAATCCAAAAAGTACAAAAGATGCGATTACAAACAGTGATTTGAACTTCAAAATTTCCAGAGCACATTGGCTCCAGTGCCCTTTCCATGCAGTAGGTGGGTTTGTGGAATACTGATTTGCAAAATATTATCCAGTCAAAATTCACAGTTCTCACTAGATTTTGTAACTCACTGCATCATTCCCCTTTGAGATATCTTAATCATGGTCCACACATTTGGTTTCCTTTGGAAGTCAGCATCCCATGTATACTCATGGCAACGTCAATCAAGATACAGGACTTTATCTTATACTTTATACTTATACTTCATTTTATACTTTATCTTAACCTCAGCCTTACCAGTTCAGCACAAGGTCAAGGGTGGTGTCCAGCTCTTCCTCCTTAGATCCAAACAGAAGCTATAGGGAGGTTCAGGTTTGTTTGAGGAACTGTACTGCATTTCCATAGAGCTACAGATGTTTCAGAAGCATAGTGTAAAAGACAACTCCCAGTCCTTTGTTCCAGCATGGAGCCAGAAAACGACAATCTCTGTTGTTGTGCTGTGCATAGAGAGCCTCAGCACCCCAATGAAACTGCAGTTATAAAATGAAATCCCTCAGTCTTCTTTTGTGGATTTGAAAAAGGTGGTGTTAAGCTTTTTTTCAAATTGTACTTGGCTCCAGGCTCCTTGGAAGTGCAGCCTCAAAAATCAGAAAGCAAATCTTAGATCCTCTCCAACCTGGAAAAGAAGGCAGGCCAGGGCTTAGTTTTGCCATGCAATTCAAGGTGCACCAAGACTTTGAAAGATACAGTGGTGCTTTGACTTACGAACATCCTGACTTACGACCACTTCGAGTTATGACCAGCTCTGGCCGCAAATTTTGCTTTGACTTGTGACCAGAGCTTTGAGTTACAACTGGAAAAAAGGCAGGGAATTCAAATTGCTAACTGTTGGTAGTTGAAGAGCTGCTTTTTTGTAGCTCTTTCGCCCCAACGGTTAGAGTGAGTATAATCGGAGGAGGCTTCGGACTGCCTGGTAAGGTAAGATATTGCTTTCTGCTTTTAAAAAAACTGTTCTGGGTGGGTCTTGCAGCATGATATTGGGCTGGGTGGTGGGATTATGTTTCTGTGCTGTGATGGGTTTTACAGGTTTGTTTGTTTGTTTTTCCCATTTCCGATGGGTCTTGGGGCGTTTGTTTGCTTTTAGGTTCCCCCCATTTCCTTTGGGTCTTGCACGCTTTGCTTGCTTTCTGCTTTGCTTTTTTTGCATTTCTGATGGGTCTTGCACGCTTCGCTTTTTTAGCATTTCCGAGGGGTCTTGCACCCTTTGCTTGCTTTCTGCTTTGCTTTTTTTGCATTTCTGATGGGTCTTGCACACTTCGCTTGCTTTTTGCTTTGCTTTCTTTGCATTTCCAATGGGTCTTGCACACTTTGCTTCCTTTTCTTTTCTTTTCCCCCTTCAGCCGGAACGGATTAGTCGCATTTCCGATGGGTCATGCAGTGGTTTGTGGGTTTTTTTGGTGATTGTCGCGTTTCCGATGGGTCATGCAGCGGTTTGTGGGGTTTTTTGGTGATTTTTTTCTTCGGCTGGAACTTATTAATTGCATTTCAATGCGTTCCTATGGGAAATTGTGCTTTGACTTATGATCATTTAGAGTTATGACCGGAGTTCCGGAACCAATTAAGTTCGTAAGTCGAGGCACCATTGTAATGCCAATAAAGGACAATATTCCATCAACTTCAGATCTACCAAAGTGTAGTTCAACTACAATGACAATCTGCACTCTGGCCTTAACTGGAAGGTTGGGATTTGTTGTCCCATTCAAACTGACAAGTAGATTTGTAGACCTCTAATGGTGGTGCTGTGGGTTAAACCGCAGAAGCCTCTGTGCTGCAAGGATAGAAGACCAGCAGTTGTAAGATCAAATCCACACGATGGAGGGAGCTCCCATCACTTGTCCCAGCTTCTGCCAACCTAGCAGTTCAAAAGCATGTAAAAATGCGAGTAGATAAATAGGTACCAACACGGTGGGAAGGTAGCGGTGTTCCATGTCTAGTCACGCTGGCCATGTGATCACGGAAACTGTCTACGGACAAACACTGGCTCTTTAGCTTGGAAATGGGGATGAGCACTGCCCCCTAGAGTCGGACACGACTGGACCAAATCTCAAGGGGAACCTTTACTTTTACCTAATTAAGCATAATAATCATAATACTCATAATAATGATGGCACAATTAAAAGTTGCACAGGGCATGACTAAAATTTGGAAAATTGGAGCAATCCTGTTTTTGCTTAAAATTTTCTTGTATTTGGTGTGATTTATTTTATATACCAGTTGAGCAATCCTTCCATTCACGTGGGAGACATTTGTTCTCCTGTGAGAATGATCCAAACAGCTCTTGGGATTGCTCCAATTTGTCCCCCTTTTGATTGATGCCCCCATCCCTGCCCACACATTTTTTCACGGCCATAATTTCATGGGTCATGGCAACATTTAAGGTATCCTTTATTCATCATACAGAGTGTCTAGCCACTACTAAGACAGTAGATGATGCTCTAATGACTAAAGAAGCAGTTTCTTCTACTTTGCATAAGGTGAGATTGGATCTCTTTTTCATGAGGATCTTTCAGGATGGGGGCAAAATAGCTCTCCTTGGGAGCCACAGCGCCCAGAAGCAAGGCAGTGACTGCCAATACGAGAGCATTTCCATCACCTCAGGAAAGGACATAAAGGTTTCAGCCATAATGTTGCTCTTCCTACCTTGTAACAAGGAGGCTCACTCAGCCTTCAACAGCTTAAGGAAAATACTGGGGAATGGACTTCCTAGAGGAAACTTTTATATTCTGGAAGCCTGTGAAGTATTGTCTAAAGTTTCTGCAGTAACAAACTGTTGATAATTTTGTTTCTTAGGTTGGAGACCAAAAGCAACAACAGCCTTCAAGAGGGAACAAATTGTCAGAACTCAATAATCTGATTTTCGTGGACTCTTTAGGCTGCTCTTGGTGAAAAGCAACAACAGCCTTCATGAGGGAACAAATTGTCAGCACTCAATCTGGTTTTCGTGGACTCTTTAGGCTGCTCTTGGTCTAACTAATCTGCTTCATTCTTGCCATACCATTTATTAGGAACAGAAAATTGGAACAAAACTAAATCAAGGTCAGAGTCTTTTTTGTAATGCTTTGCAGCCACTAGGCCTGGGTTTGAATTGTCAGTAGTGGGAGTGTACTGAAGGGGGATTTGGAGTTTGAAGGGTTTATAGACTGGGATGAGGACTGGTTGAAAAACAGCAATGCAAAATACAGCAGCTAGCTGTGAGGAAGGACCAAAGGGAAAAACCTGGTTGCCCTGAACCCAAAGCCAAATTGAGCAGCTTATTGGCATCTCTCACAACTCCTGCCTGCTTCACTTGAATCTTTCTTCATTAAGGAACTAGTCATTTAATGATTGAAGTAGGGATGAAGGGAGAATGAGAGGAAAGAAGGACACAAACTGATGTGGAAAGTCAGATTGCCCAGTGCCAGTCTGAGAAAGCACAAAATGGGTGCAGCCATATATGGTTGCAAGAAAACGCTGCCCCAACAGAAGGCAGGAAACCTTCAGAGGTTAGAACAACTGTAAGATTTTGGTGTGTTTTATCATTATGCTGTACCACAGCCATGCTGGAAACCTGTTCACTGTCTCTAGTCTCTGGGAATAGGATAAGGAGGCAAGGCACCTCTTCAGTCATTGTCTGAATCATCCATTTCAACAACCAAGGGTTGATCTGTCTCATTGCTAGCAAGAGGAGCTGAGGAGAGATCAGAGAGCATATATTTGAATTATAGCTATCTCTAGAACTGTATTTCACTGTCTTCATTGTCAGCGTTAATGTTTTGTAGTTCTTCTGTAGTAATAATTCTTAAAGTTTAATTGCAGTCCTGCTTTGGAATTTCTTTCACTTTCCCTAACAGTTGTTTCAAGTCATTGAATATAGTAGGATATTGTTACTATGATGATGACTCATGTACTGCCCCATAGTGCTAGAGAACTTCCTGAGCAGAGGATAGTGACTACAAGGTACTTTTAGGACAATGAAGAACATCAGCCTCTAAACCTCCTTTGTAATTTATTGCCTGTGTTTGATTTTTTTAATGTAGGGAGGAGGTATGTGGAGAGTATTGTCCTTTGACAGGGCTCTTACTTTGCATGCCAGTTCTGGCTTTAATGTTTGTGTTTATGTTTCAGCCGAAGAGTGGTGATACAGAGCTTTTTCCTCCTGCTCTTGACATTTCTCTTGGAGCAGCAGCATAACAGGTTCTGGTTTGCATTCCATTCTGTTCCTCTCTCCCAAACTTCATAGACCTTACCACAAAACTGTATACTGCAACTAAGTGCCCTTTCACATCCTACAATGGCTCTTTTGAACCGGTTGTGCCACATTGGGTTCCATGTTCCTGAGAGACAACAGCTGGCCAGTGATCTGGTATGTAAGTTTGGCTTTGAGCTGTTTGCCACACGAGTAGGAGAATGGAGGAGACAGCTGGCTTTTCGAAGAGGGGGTGCCATTTTTGTTGTCAATGAAAAACTGCAGCCAGTGTCAGGAAAAGCTCCACCTATTTCATCATCAGGTCACAGCATGGACGGAGGGATGCTATACGATGTGGATCCACAGCATGCAGTCAGTACTGCCTCTAACATCTGCTTTGAGGTAGAGGATGTACCTGGCATCTCCCAAAGTCTCCAGGAACGTGGCTGCCATATCCTAATCTCTCCTACCACTGTAGCAGATGAAGATGGCTCTGTCACTTACTCTGTGGTGAGATCCATTGTGGGCAACATCAGCCACACGCTACTTGACCGAACACAGTATTGTGGACCATTCCTGCCTGGCTTTCATGTTGTAAAAAATGCCCTTGAGAAGCTCCAGAGGGCAAAAGAGAACACATATTTTGACCATATCACCTATGCATGTCCTCAAGGTAGTTCACAAGCTGTGCTGGAGTGGTACAAGAACTGTTTTGGTTTCCAGCGCTTCTTCGTCCACTCACAAGACAAAGCTGCGGAAGGCTACAGAATCCAGGGAGGTGGTGTGGGTCTTCAACTTAGTGCTATGCGACATTGTAGGAATGGCTTGACTCTGCTTGATCAACAAGACTGTAAATTTGTTCTGGCTGAGTCACTGCCAGAGCAAAGAAACAACCAGGTGGATACTTTCTTGAAACAGCATGGTGGAGCTGGCATCCAACATGTGGCACTCTACACCACAGACATTGTAGAGACTATTGCAGCCATGACAAAGTCTGGGGCAAGCTTTTTCAAACCACCTGTAACATATTACAGTGAGAAGAATAAGGAGCAGGAAATACAGCAAGCTGGGCAAGATCTTCAGCTCTTGAAGGACCATGGCATCCTTCTAGATGCTGAGGTGGTTGGGGAAGGAGACAGCAATGGCCCTGCCCATCACAGGAAGCAATACCTGATGCAGATCTTTACCAAGCCACTCTTTACAGAGGAAACATTTTTTTTGGAATTCATAGAACGACATGGGGCTGAAGGTTTTGGTGAGGGAAATGTCCGTGCTCTCTGGAAAGCTGTACAGAATCACATGGACCAGCAATAGAAGGAGACACCTCTGTTCCTTCTGAAGAACAAGCTCTGACAATCCTATTGATGTGAATCATGGGCTCAAGGCATACATTAACTTTAGCATCAGTACTACTACAAACCTATTTGTAGCATAGGCTCCACAGTGGTACAAGCAGGGTCAGAATTTGCATCTTTAATGCATAGAAGGGTTAACAAAAATATTTAAGTAGAGCCCATGTTTTTAAAGGCAGCTATCTTGTGATGAACATTTTGTGCAAAGATGGACATGATAAAGGACAAAAAATGGTAGGGACCTCACAGAAGCAGAAGACATCAAGAAGACGTGGAAATAATACACAGAGGAATTATACCAGAAAGATCTAGATGTCCCGGACAACCCAGATAGTGGGGTTGCTGACCTTTAGCCAGACATCCTGGTGAGTGAAGTCAAGTGGGCCTTAGAAAGCATGGGGACAGGAGTCATGAAATTAAAAGACTCCTGCTTCTTGGCAGGAAAGCAATGACAAACCTAGACAGCATCTTAAAAAGCAGAGACATCACCTTGCCAACAATGTCATTGAAGCGACCAACATGAATTTGACCTCCAGTGGAAGACCAATATGACCAACATGAATTTGACTTCAAGTGGATGCCAGGAGGGTCCGGCATGCTCTGGTCCATGGGGTCATGAAGAGTCGGACATGACTTAACAAACAACAATCTTCTGATTATGTTTCTTGCTACTGCACAAGCATTTTTCTAATGCAAATTTTATGGAGAGTTCAAAATTTGTTCCAGTAATTGCATGGAGTAAATAGTATTTAATCTAATTATTTTGATACTCCTTGATTTCTCTTCTGTACTTAAGGGAGAGCATACTTTATTGAGAGAAGGCAGGATGTTATTACATACTCATGAAGTAGTAATGTACGATTTATATCTTGACAGATAACATACAGATCTGCTGCTACAGTACAACATAATCAAGGTGGCAACTGTGGTTCCTGTGTGTTTTCTAAATAAGCTGTTCTTTTTTCAACCATTTCCTTCTATGAAACACCTGTTCTTGTTTTTTCTGTTTGAATATGAAGAAGAGTATGTGTGTTTCTGCTGGGAGACTCTGGAATACCATATTTTTCTCAGAAACAAGCTTAGTTTATATTCCTGGAAATACAGGCACATCTCCATCTGCAGTCTTTTCTTGGTTAAAACAATTAAAATAAATGCAAAAAAGAAAAAGACATACAAGAGCATGTCTGTAACTCCTATTTGGGACCCCAAAGACCAGGTCTTTTAGGAACCTTGACATGGAGAAAGAAAAATTTTGGGGTGCATCATAAATGTAATAGAAATATTTTGATACTGTTTAGTGCTATCTCCAAAATCCACCATGAGCACAGCAGATGCTTGTCTGTCTTTCTTAGCCTTTTAAAACTATTTCCTGAATTGACAGCAAGGTTTAGTTGTTAATGTTTCTCATTTTTAAGTCCTTTACATCTGACATATTTAGAGGTAGAATGAAATAGTGGAATGCCAATATTTACTAAACACAGTCTGCCACATTAGATGAATGGCTCTTTTACACCTGGATGTAACAATGTGGTGTATTTCAATTTTGGCTCCATCTTGTCAGCTGAAGAATGCCTTATTTCTGTTTGCTGAACTCTTAACCTCTACCACATCTACCTTGAATAACTTTCTTGGTTATTCTGTAACCCTTTATACAGTAGAACACATTTTTCAAAAATAAACACATCCCTGTATGTCATCCTTCTTCCAGATTATTATTCATTGGCAATCACTAAATGTGAAGTTTGTTAATCTATTCTAAAAGCCTCAAATACAGTTGGAAATAATTTTTGCTTCAATATGATATCTAATCCTTGGTTTATGCATTCCCTAGATGTACAGCTGATTTTTTGAGCTTGCTATTTCTTCAGTTTTGGCAGATGATAATGCAGTTTCACTGCACATTATAGAGCAGCAGTTGGCTGCCTTCCTGATAGGGAATTTAGTTACTGAGAACGCTAACGAAGAGGCCTTTTTTGGTTATGATGGTCAGGACCTTGGTTTTTTTAAAAAAAATGTTATTTGCATACAGGTATTTGCTTTTTAAAGCCTCATGGCACAGTGGTTAAACTGCAGTACTGCAGTCAAGAGTTTGATCCCAATGGCTTGAGGTAGCCAGCTCCAGGTTGACTTAGCCTCACATCCTTCCCAAGTCAGTAAAGTAAATACGCAGTTTGCTGTTGGGAGAACAATGTGTAGCCTGCATAATTAAAATTGTAAACTGCCCAGAGAGTGTTTTAAGCAGTATGAGATGGTATATAAGTGGCACACTTTGCTTTAAAGAGGAATAAACATCTTTTATGCATATTTGAAATGATGCATATTGGCAGGTGTGGTATTACCAAGGAAGACAAAAATGTCCTCATTTGTATGAATAATAATGAAGTGCATCTGTTTTTAACAGGGTTGTGGTCACATAGTTTTGAAAGGTCTTTTGGTTATTTGCCAGTATAGTTACCATCACTATATTAGGTCTTTATTTAAGCATCCCAGAGACAAACTCACTTTACAACACTTGCAGGATACTGCAATGAATTTTGGAGAAGCAAGTATAAATCAATACTTTTCACTAACAGTATCTTAGTAGAATTTCCTTTAAAATTTTATTAGCCAAACTAGAATAAAAATGGGTAATTGTAACTAATAAACCCACCCATGAGCTAGAGAAATGCTGGCCTTTAGGACAGCACTAGGTGCTTGATTCACAAGCATGCCAGCCTTCATGCAGTGATAATGGTGTAAGTTACTTGCTTTTGATAAAACCAGCTGTAAAAAGCTTTGTTTAAGAAAATCTTAAGGATCAACAATCTTCTGATTATGTTTCTTGCTACTGCACAAGCATTTTTCTAATGCAAATTTTATGGAGAGTTCAAAATTTGTTCCAGTAATTGCATGGAGTAAATAGTATTTAATCTAATTATTTTGATACTCCTTGATTTCTCTTCTGTACTTAAGGGAGAGCATACTTTATTGAGAGAAGGCAGGATGTTATTACATACTCATGAAGTAGTAATGTACGATTTATATCTTGACAGATAACATACAGATCTGCTGCTACAGTACAACATAATCAAGGTGGCAACTGTGGTTCCTGTGTGTTTTCTAAATAAGCTGTTCTTTTTTCAACCATTTCCTTCTATGAAACACCTGTTCTTGTTTTTTCTGTTTGAATATGAAGAAGAGTATGTGTGTTTCTGCTGGGAGACTCTGGAATACCATATTTTTCTCAGAAACAAGCTTAGTTTATATTCCTGGAAATACAGGCACATCTCCATCTGCAGTCTTTTCTTGGTTAAAACAATTAAAATAAATGCAAAAAAGAAAAAGACATACAAGAGCATGTCTGTAACTCCTATTTGGGACCCCAAAGACCAGGTCTTTTAGGAACCTTGACATGGAGAAAGAAAAATTTTGGGGTGCATCATAAATGTAATAGAAATATTTTGATACTGTTTAGTGCTATCTCCAAAATCCACCATGAGCACAGCAGATGCTTGTCTGTCTTTCTTAGCCTTTTAAAACTATTTCCTGAATTGACAGCAAGGTTTAGTTGTTAATGTTTCTCATTTTTAAGTCCTTTACATCTGACATATTTAGAGGTAGAATGAAATAGTGGAATGCCAATATTTACTAAACACAGTCTGCCACATTAGATGAATGGCTCTTTTACACCTGGATGTAACAATGTGGTGTATTTCAATTTTGGCTCCATCTTGTCAGCTGAAGAATGCCTTATTTCTGTTTGCTGAACTCTTAACCTCTACCACATCTACCTTGAATAACTTTCTTGGTTATTCTGTAACCCTTTATACAGTAGAACACATTTTTCAAAAATAAACACATCCCTGTATGTCATCCTTCTTCCAGATTATTATTCATTGGCAATCACTAAATGTGAAGTTTGTTAATCTATTCTAAAAGCCTCAAATACAGTTGGAAATAATTTTTGCTTCAATATGATATCTAATCCTTGGTTTATGCATTCCCTAGATGTACAGCTGATTTTTTGAGCTTGCTATTTCTTCAGTTTTGGCAGATGATAATGCAGTTTCACTGCACATTATAGAGCAGCAGTTGGCTGCCTTCCTGATAGGGAATTTAGTTACTGAGAACGCTAACGAAGAGGCCTTTTTTGGTTATGATGGTCAGGACCTTGGTTTTTTTAAAAAAAATGTTATTTGCATACAGGTATTTGCTTTTTAAAGCCTCATGGCACAGTGGTTAAACTGCAGTACTGCAGTCAAGAGTTTGATCCCAATGGCTTGAGGTAGCCAGCTCCAGGTTGACTTAGCCTCACATCCTTCCCAAGTCAGTAAAGTAAATACGCAGTTTGCTGTTGGGAGAACAATGTGTAGCCTGCATAATTAAAATTGTAAACTGCCCAGAGAGTGTTTTAAGCAGTATGAGATGGTATATAAGTGGCACACTTTGCTTTAAAGAGGAATAAACATCTTTTATGCATATTTGAAATGATGCATATTGGCAGGTGTGGTATTACCAAGGAAGACAAAAATGTCCTCATTTGTATGAATAATAATGAAGTGCATCTGTTTTTAACAGGGTTGTGGTCACATAGTTTTGAAAGGTCTTTTGGTTATTTGCCAGTATAGTTACCATCACTATATTAGGTCTTTATTTAAGCATCCCAGAGACAAACTCACTTTACAACACTTGCAGGATACTGCAATGAATTTTGGAGAAGCAAGTATAAATCAATACTTTTCACTAACAGTATCTTAGTAGAATTTCCTTTAAAATTTTATTAGCCAAACTAGAATAAAAATGGGTAATTGTAACTAATAAACCCACCCATGAGCTAGAGAAATGCTGGCCTTTAGGACAGCACTAGGTGCTTGATTCACAAGCATGCCAGCCTTCATGCAGTGATAATGGTGTAAGTTACTTGCTTTTGATAAAACCAGCTGTAAAAAGCTTTGTTTAAGAAAATCTTAAGGATGGGGTCCTTTGCTTTTATCAGCCACTGGAATTCAGAGGTTGCTATATTCTCCCTTCCATGTCAGACTACTCCATATAACTTCACATTTCAGTGTGCTTTCATGCGGCTTAGCAGACTGAAGGCAACAAACGGTATTCTGGAGCAGCCACAGCCACATCTACTTGCATGGTGCACATGGGTGTTCAGTCTTAGATGGTGCATTTGCAGCAGCCAAAATGGTTTCCCACCATACCTGTAGAAAAACCATTTGTCCCTTATCGGTCAAGCTGTCAGAGAAGGCACCCTGTAGATGGCTAGGAAATGCAGAGGAAACAGTGCAACTGACAGCACAGCAGTAAATTCTGGTAAATCATGCTGCTCAGCACTTTCCCCAGCAGGCAAGCACACCTCATGGCATGGCCAGACAGATCAAATATGGAATCCCCAGGTCCCAGATGTTCATCATCTTGAGGAGGCACCAGTGGAGTTTCTAAGTACAGTATAGAGTTGCTGGGAGTAGATATGCATGTAGCCTTCCAGATGTAAAGTCAGGAAAGGTAGACGTTAGTTCTTAGGATTTGTTGCAAGAAATGAATCCAGAGAAAGCTGCTTCTTAGAAAAGCTGCCATCTTCTTCAGATTTTGACTGGCTGGTGCAAAGAAGGTCCCGTTTCCGCTTCACAACCTGTACATTTAATACAGAAAACTTTGCTTATATATCCCATCCTCCCACCTGATACTGAGAAGTACTATCTTCTAGGTCTAGGTTAGGTGAGGCCTGGTTTTCAGATTGGTTGGCTGATTAAGGGGGCACAACTGGAAATAGGTTTGAGCAAAGGGAAAGGGGGCTTGGGAAAATGGCTAGTTAGCCAGTCTCTCCTACTTTGTTTTCAAAATTTTCATCTTACATAATTAATTTTTTAATGTCTGAAAATACTATTCCTTACAAAATTATCTTTACATGGACTCTCAACTTTAGATATCTTTAATTATCAAGATAAGTAGCAAAGTTATAGTAATAAAACTTAAATTAACACTAACAGAACACCTTGGTTATTACCTTATTGGGATTCCTTTACAGTATATATTTAGCAATTTGCAACAAACGTTACTAGAAAACTGCAACCTTTTTTGCTTTTACAGTTTTTTGGGGAAACACTGAGTGACAAGGGGAGGCAATGAAGGACACAAGCAAGCTGTGGGTCATACTATCTGTGTTCTGCACCATGGAATCTAGGGGCAAAACTGAACAACCAGTATGATTAGAAGCATGTGTAATTGCCAGAGCTCAAGTTATCTGCTTTTGATACATAAAATCAATTCTAGGGCTCAGAAAGATGGGTAAGGGGCCATTTTGTTTAAGAATATTCATGGAGAATGTTCTTAAGAGAATGACGAGATGTTCAGGACCGGCAAAATGTTGAACTCACCTTGGCAGAACTGATTTTGGAGCTCCATTCTTCATATGCTTTGAAGACCTGAAAGAAATACAGAGGAGGGGCAGGATCTGTTCTCAATCATCCCTAAGTGCAGGACACATAATACACGGCTCAAATTACAGGAAGCCAGATTTTAGCTGAACACCAGGAAAAACTTCCTGTTACAGCAGTATGAGAATGGAACCATCTGGGACGTGGCAAGTGCTCCAGCGCTGGAGGCAGTAAAGAGAAAATTAGACAACCATCTGTCAGATCTGCTTCGATTTGGATCCCTGCATTGAGCAGGGGGTTGATTTGATAGCCTTATAGACCCCTTTGAACTCTATTATTCTATGATTCCATATTCTAAGACAACACTAAAGTACATAGCAACCTATGCTGTCATTCAGCTGCAAATGTGACATGGCTGCTGCTATTGCATATGCAAATCAATGTCCCTGTGCACCTAACTCCTGTAGAAATCTTTGTCCACTGAACATGAAGGTGTGTGTGTTTATGTTTAGCTGAAACAATATGCAAACTTACTTGTGACTGGGAACATTGGTTAAGGAGTCACAAATGTGCTTATTCTCCCTTGGGAGACCTTAGTACTAAACATGAAAAAGTTCATAGTGGCATCCAGTTGTGCATGCCCTTGTCACATGTGCAGGCCGAACACCTCTGTAGGGCTGTCTCCATATATAGGGAGCAGGATTCTCTCTCTTTTTTTTTTTTAACATGCACTAAAGTTGTCCTTCACTATCCTCAGGAGCAACTTATTACTTGGGCTAGCAATACAATGAAGTAGTGTTCACACAAAATGGCGCAAAATGGAAAGAGAGCAGGTGTGTCTTTTGCCTGACAGATATGCACTGTTTTATCCACTAGTGCCACTGAACATTTAACTTTTCCCCTCAGATTTTGTGGCTAATATTCTCTATTCTTCTGTACAGTATTTACCATGTGCCACTCTTTAGAGGAAAACCTGGCAAATCATGGGCAGGTGTGAAGTGGCTGAGCCATAGATTCTCAGTACCTTCTTCATGGCTGTGGAAATGGCTGAGTTCATGAATTCTGTTTTGGTCACCCATCGGGATGGTGGCAGCTCCATCTCTCTGTTCCAGCTTCCCTCACCCTTCTCCAGGTTCAAGAAATAGATCACATATGTTTGGCGGATGTGGGAGAAGATATGGAGAACCTAGTGAAAGCAGAGATGTGGGCAAGATCCTAGAAAAATGCTCCCCTCCTCCCTTTTTGGCAGTCAGGAGTTCATGGGCCAGGAAGAAGTGGAACCAAAGAGATGCTTTTGGACAGGGAAACCGAACACCAGGGTTCTGAGCAGAGAAGGACCTCTGGATTTCTCCTTCCACTGCTTTGAGTCCAGCAGCTGCAGGTACTTCAGCATCATAGTTTTGGAACAACAAATGGCAGGGAGGAATTGTGGAAGCACAACTTGTGCCAGTCTAGAGATAGTCAGCACTGAACGTTTGAGAGGGACATTACTTTTGAAGTCAGCATCTTTTGGCAATGGCCAAGATTTTGAAGTCTGGAGAGTGGCCAGTCCCACCTCAGATACAGGTAGGCTGTAAATCCCATGCATAGCTGAGTATGGGCTGGGAGGAGTTTGTGGAGAGAGGTTTTGACTAAGCAATGACAGATCTTGACGAATCGTTCTGCTGCCATTCTATCTGGGACCCCATTTACCTCTCCGACATGCTGCAGGCACCCCACTGCCACAACATTGCCAACCCAGGCCTGGAGGTGATGTGCCAGTGCCACTTTCTGCTGCTTCTCCTGCCCTGGTTCAAGGATGAGGCTGGGAAATTCCCACAGCCCTGCCAACAGACCTACAAGGAAATGTATCACTGTCAACACAAGCTAATGTAGCAGTTTGCTTATGAGTTTGAAATAGGAATCCCTGGATCAAAAAATTGTTTCGAGGCATAAACATGACATCTGTAAGAATAACTATCCACTCTCAAAAATGGGACAGTACAAGCATTCTTGATAGGGTTCCTGAGGCAATCATTATAAAGCAATTAGAAATGCAATATAGAACAGAACTACTGTTACTACTATTGTTATTGTTAGCATTTAAATAGAGCCATTACCTATCAGATAGAAAAATCAAGTATTAAGGAAGTACTGTTTTCTTAGTAACTCAGCAGTGTTCCCAAGGAGTATGTCTGTGTCAAGGCTGAATGCTCTCTGCCTTGTTTAATGGAGAGGAAGGATTGCTTTAATAACCAAGTTTGTTTTTTCTTTTCTTTCAGCTGCAGTAGGATTTTTCAGCTGCTTAAATAATGTCCAACAGAGTGTCAGACAGAGCTGCATAGCTGTCCCATGGAGATTAAAATGTTAAAACAGAAAAACACTGGATCTGACCTGGCTTTAACACTATGGACGGCCACGACCAATACCTTCTGCTCAAAGTCATCAACATGCTTTGTAAAAAAACCCAACTGTTTCTTTCATCCATCTTAAGGAAAGCCCCTGAATACTCACCTCACAAAAATCATCTTTCTTTGTAACAAGGGTTTATTGATCAAACAATGTACATCTGCATTTGCCCAGCTATGGGTGAGGCCAGAGTTAGAGAAATAAAGAATATGAAAATACCCCCACTAGAAAAAAAAAAGAAAATACCCCCACTGTCTTATATCCAAGTCAGTTACCTGAGCTGGGTCTCTGCACAATAAGGTACTCTAGTTTCTCGTCAGCGCCTCTCCGTTGTAGCAGACATATGGCTGTGTGTTCTATTCTGGGCTGCTTCTTCGTGGCTTTCCTAGGGAAATTTGCGACACCAAGACTGGGATCCCATGGGTCTGAGGGAGGCAGGCAGAGGGAGCAACTCCCTGTGACGGCAGCTGCAAATTAGAAGGGAAATGCCTTGTGTTTAACTTCTGGCAACACACAGCTGCAGTTCCTCCATGATGCCTTTTTGTGAAGTTGGAGACCATCCTTACGATGTAAGCTGGGTTTCACTTAATGCCGCCCATCCCAGGGATGGTCAATCACATGCGTCAAATTCAAATTCCTCCAAGAATTCTCTCTCATTTCAGTCCCTCCCTCAGTGGTGCCACACGTTAAAGCAGATCAGTGCTAACGTGGCTGTGAAACACACCTTAATTAGAGCAGAACAATTTTCTTGTGATGCTTCTTCCAATTTCTTCAGCCACAATCTTGAATAATGGGCATTGGTGCAAACAGAATCAGAAAAGAGGTTTGCTGGGGATGAAGAGCCAATGATTTTTCCTCTTCTTTGATGCCTTAGTGAACCCAAACCATCATCCTTCTAACATGACAGTGCCAACTCTTATCAACACTTACCACATTCTTCAACATCTAGGAGCTGAAAGGACTTAGAGCCAGCTTTTCCCAACAGTTTCTTGGCAGAAAGTAACTGATCCTTCTTCACCTGTGAGAGAGGAAGTTTTCAGCCATCAGGAAATACCAGAGATGTTCTGCCATTTCCAGTTTCTTCAAGATTCCCTTTTCAGCATCAAACCTCATGCTAAGATTACTAATGTTTCCAAGATTAAGATGAAGTCCAAGTCTGATGTATCCTATGTAATATCAACTCTAAAAAAAGTCATAAATGCAGCAGAATTATGTGATGTCTGTCATTTCACCTACAATGAAATATAAACACTGCAATAAAGCCACATTAACTAGCTTTGTTAGATTAATAATGCAGACCTATACTTGTTTACACAAAAGTAAATCAAAGTATACTGTATGCAATTAAGAATTATTTCTCGGCAAATATGATTAAAGCTGCAATTCTAGACACAGGTGCCAGGGAATATACCCCAACAAAACTATCTTGAGGAGACTGCAGTCTTGAGAAATAATCAAAATACTGTGTGAACACAGATTTATTTCTGAGTAAATGTGCCTAGGGTTGGACTGCTAAAAACCCTCCCTGCCAGCAGCATGTATACGGTTGAACAGCTGGTTAGAGAGGAAGAGCCTTGGAGTTCAAATCCAAAAGAGCCTTCTGGGAGAAGAACCCCATGTAACCCCCAATCCGTGCCATTTATGAAGTCTTGGCAGGGTATACACTTACAGAATCCCATCAGAAGGAGGGACGTCTGAACAAACCACTTTACATCTAGAAAACCTTGGGAGGGCTGCCATAAGCGAGAACTGATTTCCCAGCACTTACATGTTATTCATCTATATAAACAAATGAAGGTTTTTGCTCTAGGATGTGACGTAAACTACTCATCGAATGAAGTAACTTCTCCTTCTCCCCAGATGAACAACACAGCCTCAGCTGGAATAAGGAAAAAGAAAGGCGCCCACTTACCATGTGGTAAGCTCTGCAGTGCCGCTGTACAGGACATTTCGTGCACAGTGGGGCCTTAGGGGTGCATACAGTTGCCCCCAATTCCATCATAGCTTGGTTAAAGTCACCTGGATGGGCCGGATCCACCAGAGTGTGCGCTAAAGCCCTAAGAACAGGAGCCATTAAAAACAGACATGTCCAAAGCATCAGGCCAGACAAAAACATTCTTGAATTCTCAGTGTCTCCAACTACACCTGTGGGAATGGACTGGGAAATATCTGAGTGAAATAAAGGCATGGAGGAGAAAAGTATTTGTTTAGTCTAAAAACTGCCTTAGGGATGTTGACTGTGGCTGTGTTTAGTAGGAAGGCATTGAATGAAAGGTGAAGATAATCTCTGTAACTTTAGAAAAAAAACTCTTGAAATTAGTCTATATTTAACATAAAAGCAGTATCTTGCTAGCTGGATGGATCAGTGAGATGGAACACTTGGGGCTTAGGAGTCCAGTTCCTTATTGTGCCATGCAGGAGGGGCACTGGTAAAACCATTGCTAAATCCTCTATATTTAGGAAATCTTGGAAAGGGTTGCCATAGACTAGAAGCAACTTGACAGGACATTATTATTAACACAAAACTGAACAACACTGGTTACATGATTGAGTTTTTCCTTTCATTTCAAGGGTAAATTTGTAATCCACATCATTGTGAACAAATACTGTATTTTCCCTTGTATAAAACAACACTTTTTCCTAAAATAATTAAGAGGAAAAATTGAGTGTCGTTTTATACACAGAAGGAAGCAGTCGTGCGCACACTCGGGCGCCTCTTGCTGCTGCTGCTACCCAATTGCCTCTTCCAGAGCTCACGGCTTGTCCCCTCTGGTGGCCCCAAGGCAGCAGGAGGTGGAGGCGAAGGAGCATTCACATGCACTCGGGCGCCTATTGCTGCTGCCTTCCCCGCCCACCCGATCACCACCTCCAGAGGGACTGATGGGCTCAGCTCACATCGTTCCCTTGTCCCCTCTGGTGGTGGAGGCAAGAGGAGGCAGAGGTGGAGGCAAACAAGCACTCAGGAGCCGGCGCCAGATCACCTCCTCCCACAATCTCCTTAGGACAGGGGACAAGGAGGCGATGTGGGCTGGAGGTGAACCCCAGCAGTCACACTGGAGGAGGTAATCGGGTGGGCAGCGGAGGCAGCAGCAGCAGGAGATAGAGGTGGAGGAGCAGTTTCCCATTAACTGCTCCTCTGCCTCCATCAAGGGTCAAAATTAGGGGGGCATTTTATACATTGGGGGGTCATATACACAGTAAAACACGATATTTAAAAGATGTGAGCAGCAGTAGCCAGAAATAGCAATCTGAAGTGTCATAACATGAGGCTTCCACAAAAATAGAAACAGTATTTCTAAATATTCTGTATTCTATCACACTCTAGAGCAGCCATTCTCAACAGGGGCCATATGCCCCCCGGCACATTTGAAGGGGGACAACAGACTGGAAGCAGTTCTTCACACACCACCTTATAAGGCTTGTTATGTGACTTGTACAATCCCGATTTGGCCTATATTTCTTTCATATTGTGTTTATGGCTGTGGCCAAAAAGGGTTGAGAATGGCTGCTCTAGAAGAAAGACTAGGAGCTACAGACTAATTCTTAACCTCGTCTTAAACCCATTTACTTGTAAGCTCCAAAGATCTGGATGGGACCTACTTACACATAAAGGACTACATTTCTCTCCAGTCTTCTATGGGTCTCTTACCCCAACTGTCTGGGCAGAAATTAAGGCTAGCTGCAACTTGCCAGACAGTGTTGTTCTCCACTTTGGATTTTGAATGGGTCCAAGATGGATTTCCCCATTTTTGCTTCCACAAATTATCCTCTTTTCACCATCCTCATGTCAAATAAGTGTGATGGCACAATTGCTTTCCTTACCATAGTCTGTCCGCAACAGCTGAACTGGTGGGATCAGCACCAATGGCTCTTGAACGGCATAAGACTCGAATGACGTTCCCATCTACCACACCTGTCACCTAGGTGCATTTGGACAAAAAATAAAATAAAAATCTCTTCACATACTTGTAAGGACTTATGTTCAAGCACCGGATGAGGGGGTCTTCTGCCATCTAACAACAGAAGACATTTTAAAGAGCAGAAGCATGACCAGACACACTCCCGGAGTCCAGACTAAGACTCCATGGCAACTAAGTTCAGCTAAGCGGCCAAGTGGCAAGTGAGTTAGCAATGAGGAAGACCTCCAGGGGTGGCATCTCAACTTTCCTTTCATCTCTGTTATGAAGGATAACCCCAACAGCCGTTGAAAAGATTCTCATTCTGGTCAAAAGGCACTTTATCTTGTCATACTTGGAACTCTCTTGTATGAATTTTCTCTTGTGAGAAAATTAGAACCCATTTCACTGTCTTTAAGGGTGTCAACAACACAAGAGTGGCTAATGTGGGTAGGTTGGTGGTCCATGCCAATGCTTAAATGTACACCCTATTCCTACATGTGTCCTTCCTTGTGTACACATGACCTGTCCCCCTCTCCAGTGCAAAAGGATCAGGAGAAAGTTATGCCTCTCTGTCATACTGCCCTAGCCATGTCCACAGGCACTCCTTCCTCCATTCCTTGATTCATGGAAGAGGGCATAGAAGTTTAAACACAAATAGGATTTATTCTAATGGGGTAAGGTAAAGGTAAAGGTTCCCCTTGAACTTTTTTGTCCAGTCGTGTTCGACTCTGGGGGGCGGTGCTCATCCCCATTTCCAAGCCATAGAGCCAGCGTTTTGTCCGAAGACACTCTTCCGTGGTCACATGGCCAGTGCGACTTAGACACGGAACGCTGTTACCTTCCCACCAAGGTGGTCCCTATTTCTCTACTTGCATTTGCATGCTTTCGAACCACTAGGTTGGCAGGAGCTGGGACAAAGTGACGGGCACTCACTCCGTCACGTGGATTTGATCTTACGACTGCTTGGTCTTCTGACCCTGCAGCACAGGCTTCTGCGGTTTAGCCCACAGCACCACCACGTCCCTTCTAATGGGGTAGGGGATACAAATAAACAGTCACTCAGCTATCCTGGACTATTTTAATTCATTTCCCACAAGTCTCTCTGTGAATCCATCAACACTCCAGTTAATGCCACCAGAAGGGGCTTTAATTTGGTGGGTTGCTCATTCAGAGTGTGGCCTTATTTACCTGGCCAAATGCAATGGATGCAATAGCTCCTGCCGTATATTTCCCCACTCCGGGCAACAATTTTTGCAGCTCCTCTGCTGTCCTGGGCAAATGACCTGCCATCTGGGACACCACCTGCAAACGACCAATGAAGCAGAGCAATCAGAAGCAAATGAAATGGAATAAGAATGGAAACCACGAAACAAGCAAACTTGTCATGTAAATGGCAGCAGCAGGCAGCCTAGTGATGGAATGACCAGGACTGCTAGCTAAACCACAATGGTAAGCTGTATTACCATCTGTCAAAGCAACCCAAGGGCGTTTTTACTAACATGTACCATCTTTGGAGGTACTTATATAGACACTGGAGAAACTTCTAGTAGCCCTTTAGGAAGGAAGTGTCCCTTCTATTAGTAAAATCCAGTGACGTTAAAATGTTATTCTGAACTTTGGGGAACTAAAGGATGCAAATGTAACAAGTAAATATCAGAAACAGGAAAGCTAACAGAAAAAAGTCAGAAGTTCCATTAACTGTTAGTGGGCTGAAAAATCACATTCATTTTAAGTTTCAGTTGTGAGGGGGGGATTTGTTAACAGTTAAGTTTACACTGAAATCAAATGGCTACAATAAAGTCTTACCAGAAACACAAAAATCCTATCCACAATTTAACTGTTCTCTCCCCCATCCTAGCCTGGAACTTCTGAACTCTCTCATTTCCCATTCACTCCACTGTAATCTACTCAGATTTAAACAGGAGGAAGTACTAGTATGTTCAGCAGGCCTTACTCCAATATATACATTTATCTGTTTATTATATATAGTCATGTGCCATCAAGTCAGTATCTGTTAATAGAGGAAGCAAATAAAAAAAATCAAGCAAGGGACAACCAAGGGTATGTGTGTGGGGGAGGGTTGTTTTTTGTTGTTTGGCCAGATACATAAAATTATTGGTAGCCTATGGCCTTTAATGTAAAATCTGAATTGTTCTGCAGTTGTCAACAAGGATAAGGTTGCAACAGACAGCATGATGTGACTGATGGGCTTTGCTATCAATCCTGCTGCCTCTTTGCTCACATTCCTAGGAAACTTAGTCCAGTGAGTCAATAGTACAGAATTGCATCAGTTCTCTGTAGTGATTATATAGAGGACTGTAGCCCGTTCATTACCTTTGCTATGATCTAGGGGAAGGGGTCTTTTTAGCTGACAGTAGAACATGCCCAGGTGAGTAATTAAGCAAGGGATGCTTAAAGTGTATGAAGGATCCTAGGGTTCAAACTATCCTGGGTGGGTCCTGGAAAGCAAAATGCAGGCACCTTCACATCCACTTCCCCCTATTAGTATTTTCCTGGGGAAGAAAAAATTAGATGAAACTTTCAAAGGTGAACTACACTCTCAGATTTTTGTACACTTAGTATGGCTACACACAAACTCAACTGGGATCATTTGTGGGGCTGCTGTTAGCAATCTGTCTGCCATCAAAACCTACAAAAAAGAAAAGAAAAACTATTTGCTGTCGAGATTAAAAATTGTTCTGCCAAAGCACGTTCAAACTATAAAAGTTGTCATAACTCCTTTGCCACTCATAATTTTTTCTTCGTTTTTTGAAAGAAGAACTAAGTGAGTTTGGCACTGAAAACTGCAGTCTTTGCTGTTATGATAGGGTGGGTGGGAAAAGCATGGGAAATCACAGCTTTGCTGTAGCTCACACTGACATTAATTTGGTAATTTTAAAGATATCACAAGACTAGTTTTGCCTTTGTTTTCTTTTGTATTTAAATAGGTAAATATTTTGTGTTCTTCCTTCCCCTCCTCTCCCATGTAGCCAAGAGTAGATCACTCTCCCATCTTAGGGGGGAAAGGGTGTGTGTGCATTTCCTTTTTTTTTGTGGGGGTTGCTAGAGGTAGCCAAAGGTAGATGACCCTTCCTTCTCATTTCTTATTTCTCTGATGGGGTCCTATTTCTTCTTTTTCCTCATTCTTCTTCCTGCTTAGGAACAACTTGTTCTTCAATACAGTGGACCCTCGGCTTACGAAGGTCCCTACTTATGAAAATTTCGAGGTACGAAAAGCTCTGGCCGCAAAATTTTGGTTTGATTTGCAACCAGAGCTTTGACCTACGAAAGGCAGCAGGAAAGGGCGAGAAATTCAAAGCTATCCCCACTGCCCTCTGCCTCCCCCACTGCCTTCTGCCTCCCGTCCCCATGGGGATGGGAGACAGAGGGCAGTGGAGGCAGCTCTGGAAGCCCGGGAAGCCAAAAGCCACCCCAACCTCCTGCGGGGATGGGAGGCAGAGGGCAGTGGGGACAGAAGGCAGAGGGCAGCAGGTGCAGCTTTGGAAGCCCAGGGTTGTTTTTTCTTTGGATGGAACAGATTAAATGGTTTTCAGTGCATTCCTATGGGAAATGGACCCTCGACCTACGGACTTTTCGACCTGCGGCCACCGTTCCAATACGGATTAATTCCGTAAGTCGAGGGTCCACTGTACTTCTTCTCCACTCACATGACTGTCTGGATGAAGTCAGAGTTGACAAGTTCCCATGTAACAGAATCAGGAAATCACAGAACTAAACAGCTGGAAGGTACCCAAACGATAATGAAATCCAGCCCTCTGCAGAAGCAGGAAATCCACCTCTCAAGCAACTCTGAAAGATAGCCATACAACTTCTACTTAAAAACAACTTGTGAAGGAAAATCCATTGCTTCTGGAGGTTGTCTGTTCTGCTGTTGAACAGCTCTTACTGGCTGAAAGTCCCTCCCAATAATAAGTCAAAATCACAGTATCTTGTAATTTGGATCCATTACAGTCTCACTGTCTGGTGCTGGAGAAAACAAGCTCTCTCCATCTTCCACATGACAGCTCTTCAAATATTTGAAGACCATGTCAAGAAATTTTATTTCCCCTCAATCCTCCTCCTTTCATGTTTATAAATGACAATGTTTAGAAATGACCACGTTAACAGTTTTGCAAACAGAGGCAAAATAAGCTAGTGTTTTTTTCCCAACACTACTGGAAAATTCTACATGTGACTTAATTATGTTAATCTAATGTTTTGTGCTGATTTCTGGGAGGTATATCCTGGCTGGTTTTTGACACATCTTTCCCGAGAATCTTACTTCCCATTGTAGAGGCCTCCAACTGTAAACTGTTCGGGGAACAGCAATCTTGAACATAGAAAAATATTTACAGTACACAGACATTTGATATCTGTCATTTTCCAAAGTGGTTAGTTAAGGACTAACCTACTACAATCAATGGGGGTATAAGGATTCTTATAGCAAGTTAAGCATCACAAGCCCAAATGCACACTGATTAACCCAATGCTACTCTATGTAGTACCTTACATGCACCTTCCTGAAGCCGCTTTCCTCGGGAATAGTAGCCAAGTCCTGACCAGAGCTCATTCACCTCCTATTTCCAAAGAGAAGAATTTCAGGAAACTCTTAATATTGAATGGAGATGGGGGAAATCAAAGGATTTATATATACATGCATGTACACAAAACGTATTTCTGCATTCTCTTTCTTACCTCTAGTGAAGCTTTAGCAAGTTCCTGCAAGGTTGGCCATTTCTACATTAGAAAGAAAAGTGCAGATTTACTTACAGGCTTTGCAAAGAAGAATGGTATATAATGACATAGTAAGTAAGAAGCTTACTAATATAAATAAAAATGTACCACAGAGAAGAAGGAAAGTCAGCATCACCTGCATCCATTGATTGTAGTAGCTGATCACTGAAGCCACCTGGGTCTGTTGGAGCATGATCTCTGATACCCACACTACAAGATAAAAAGAAGCAGCAAAAATATTAACTTTCTAAAACTTCTCAATTTTACTTGGAAAGCATAAAGTGCCACTAAATGGATGTAATATACAAGTGTAAGGAAACCAGCATTCTGTATATATTTCCCATGTCAAAGAAGGGACATGCAGCTGAGGAAGCCTTATTTTCTTTGATGTTCCCTCCTGCCCTTTTGAATACTACACTACAGCCAAATTAGTGCCATTCACAAATTTACTATCTTGCTCTGCCAGAGACTCTCTAACATGCTTAACAGATTTTAGCATAAAATATTTTTTCTGTGTAGCAAAAGTGATGCCCCACATTGAAACTGACAACAAGGCAGTGTCATGTGTTATCTATGTAATTATATCCTCATGGACCCTTGGAAGTAGACAGATCATGGTGGAAGTCTTTGGAGTGTTCTCTTTCTCACCAGCATATGCTCGTCTGTCAGCATCTGTTTCACCTGAAGCCTGTAAAAAGAGTGGTCAAGGGATTTTGGTAAAGAGAATGCAACAGGACTATCTTTTTGAAAAACAAAACAGTGTTTTTTTTCCCCTTAACATCTTACATTCTACACATTACACCATACCATTTTTCTCCAAGGAAGGTCCCGTTTGCATTTATTATACCAGGTAAGCAGGCTTTTCCGGAAAGCTCTGATTTCAGTTTCATTGCTGAAGGTATGGAATAAAGATTGTTGACTAGGCACATCTGCAACAAAGAGAGGCCTGTTAAAATTTTTGCAGTAGCCATTCCTATGTGTAGTGTGAAGGAGACAAAAATACAGGGCAGTGAAGAAATGTGTCACAAACCCTAAATGGCACACATTTTTGAGAAACATTTGACTAAGGGCATTCCTCTTGGCATCATCTCTATGTTTTCCAACGATCAAGTTTTGCTGCCATTTATAACAACACATACCCTCAATAGATATATTTCTTATTTGACCATGAGAACATGCCAACACAAAGGAGAAAAATGAGACACTGTGACTGGAAACTAGCATCTAGTCTGCTTCTATAAACTTGTCACAAAACAGAAAGTATTTCTGTTGGTATCTCAGATAACTGTGCTGACATTATATATTCCAAATAAGTATCTTTTGTGTGTGTGATTACACATCGCTAAATCTGCCAGGTTATTTTATTAACCTTGATAATTATGTGGAGCAGTATAAGAATGGAGACTAGGAAAGTACAAATTTTCTGCTTCTGTATTGTTAACTAAACAACTTTACACATTTCCTTGCCTAATTTCCTTGTCAGGAACACTCTGCATCTTTACTGCCTATCACAAAGTCAAGCCCTAACTGATGAATCAGGCCAGAATTTTTGTAGTTTTTGCAACTCAGTCTTCGAACATATAAACAAAAAAAAAAGTTGAGAGAAGTTATCAAAAAAGATGGTGGCAAAAATATTATCTTCAGCTTCCTTTCACGCTAAATTGATTGCAATTGTTCTGCTTCTTGGGCAATATCTTATCCTAAACCAATTACCTTTCAGAAGTGCAATACTTTCTTCCAAATTCTTTGGTGATTTCTGTTGCCTCCGAGTATCCTGTTGTGTTCTGAGCTTGCTGTGTTTTACCAGCCGGTGTTTACTCATGGTCAGGCTAGGAATATCATAATATGTGTTACTATCAGATTAGAAGCACCCTCCCAACAGTCCATAGCCCTGATTAAGTACTGTATTCATATACCTCTTTGTGTGTGATGCCTTGCATTATATAAACCCAGGATGTAAAATAGAAATAAGAAATACAAATAGAAGCCCCATTTCTATGTTGTTCCTTAAGTGATGTACAACAAAAATACAGAGTTAATAACAACAGTTCTGGAGAGTATTTTTAAAATGGTAACCTCTATCTTCACATCGCAGCTATATCTTTAATGCCATTTAAGAAATCTCACATTAAAGAGTTGTGGGCAAGTACACAAACTAGCGTACAAGGGTGAATATTTTCTCCAAGCATTATGGCATATGTTCTATTTGCATTAAGCCTTTCTCCGACTCAGGAGAGCTGAATTCCAAAATGAGATCCTTTTCGTTATGATTTTTTCGGTGGCACAGTCTCTACCACCTTATTTACCAGGGCCTCCTCTTCTCGCACGCAGGACGTACCATGAAAACTGGAGAAGCCTTCTATGCTAGTCAGAGCGGCAACAAATATTAAAAGAAAAAGTGCAAGCTTCTTCACTTTCTACCCGACTCTACTACCGGAAAGCCTCTTTGTGTTCTTTTTTTTCCGCGCGTCTGAGTTGGACCCTCCCCCCGGGATTGCGGAGAGCCAATCAAAGCGAGCCATCAATTTACCAGCGCGAGCAGCAGGAAAGAAGGAGTGAGTTTTATGACGCTATAGAGTTAGGAAAAGTATGTGTTCTACCGGCTACTTCCTGGTTCCCTATAATGGTCTGTCTGAGAAACATACACAGGATTGCGCTTTGAGGTCTGCGCAACCTCACGGATTTGGGAATAAGTCCCATTGAATTCAGTGTGGTTTATACGCAAGTCAGCATTTCGTGATTTGACTTCATTAGAGCTTATTCCCGAGTAATTGCACAGGGTTAGAAAGAAAGGGATTCATAGGGACAGCTCAACCCGAGCACCGCATAGAGAAGAAGGACCCCCAAAGAGAACGACGGCCCGGAAGTCACTCTACAGGAAATCTGAGAGGGCTATTTTGACGCGCCGGAAATCAGTCTAACAGCAAGGCCGATGTCGCCATTTTAACGCGCCGGAAGTCAGTCTAACAGCAAGGCCGATGTCGCCATTTTGACGCGCCGGAAGTCAGTCTAACAGCGAAGTCGATGGCGCCGATTTGATTATTTTCTGACGGTAATAGAAGGTATGGAAACGTCACTTGGCATCCGCTGTAGCTAGACGAAGGGGCTTAGGATTCTTTCTCCATGATATTGCAATAATTTAAAGGACACTCTTTCATTTGAAGGGTCGCGAAAGGGCAATGGTTCTTTTGAAGGTCTCCAGTCGTAGGCCTGTCCAAATGAACTCTGATTTTAAAGTACTGTAATTAAATCTTAAAACCAGAAGGAAGTCATTTAGAAGTCTTTAAGTTGCTGATCTACAGGAACATCTGTTTGGCAGACTAAGCAGGGATGGGAAGTCCCTTGATCACTATCTCACCCACATCAGGCAAAATCCAAAGAAACAAGACAAAAACATGTGACACCTTAAAGACTATTATATTTTAATGGCTTAAAACATAATAGTCTTTAATGTGCCACATGCTTTTGTCTTTTTTTTTTTAGAATTTAACCTGATACGCTTGCACAGACTAACACAGCTATCTCTCCCAAAACTATCTCGCCTACTTGAATGACATTGTTGTACTTGTGTTTAAATTATAAACATCATTTCTAATATTGTACCTATTCATATGGATCTGTATATGCAGTGTTATGCACATCGTTGCCCTCTTTTGCCCTCCTTAGAGAGTTACATTCTCCTTTTTTTGGCAATGTTTAACCAGTCACCCTAAATAGGAGGCAGATACAAGGACAATGGAGAAGCGCAAAACAAAGCACAGTCTCCCCATTAAGCCAGATGTTGTGTAGATACTGTTGTAAATTATTATTTCCATTTAGGATTTTTGTGAAATTCAGTGGTAAGCCACGCAACTGGTGTCCATGGAACTATTTGAATGTGTGTGTCCAATATGTACTACTTCATGTATCTGAAGAGAACTGTGAGCTGCAAAACCTTCGGCCAAATACAATTATAAATGGGGGGGGCACAAGATTCTTCTTTTGTCTTGGTTTCTTGTAACATGAAATAGCTTTTTATTTTTATTTCTGAGTTGTTACTCCATGAGTACTCAGTTGGTGGTTTGTGGGATGGTGTCTGTCTGCCACTGGTTCCCAAAAAACAAAACTATTGTCTGAATGTTTAAAATAGTACATGTATGATGTTTAACAGCTGTATGAGAATGACTTCATTGAAGGTGCCAGTCATTGATGTCCAGAATGACAACTTCAAAGAACTGTGGCCATCCATGCTCTTGGCCATCCAGACTTCTAGCTTTATCGCTATTGACACAGTGAGTAGAGTGTTCTTCCTTATATTCTACCAAAAACATTGGAGGACATTTTGTACAATAAAATTCTTGAGGGTTGTGCCACAGATGAGACTTTGGATGGTGACTGGATATCTGCTTTGCCTGAGGAAGTGGCCGTGATATTCTTTAACTGCTTGTTAGAAACAAAGGGACGAACTTTAACTTCCCATATGTAGATTTTCTTCTGGCCCCCTTCTAGTTAGTAGATAGTAGCATTTTGGAAAATGAAGAACAAAAATAGTACTTAAATTCAGATTTTAAAATACACATATCTGTTTCTTCTAATTATTTGGGGAGAGAATTTTCTCTCTCTATAAGCGAGGCCGTAATGTAATTACCACTGGTTGATATTGCTATGTATTGTCTAAGTCGGAGGTCGTCAATGACCAGTCTGCGGCCCATTGCCGGTCCCTGGCTTGAGCCCGACCGGGCCACCAAGACAGACCTCCCCCTGCACCCCCCCCGCACACACTCCTCTCCCCATAGCTGCTTTGCACGTGCGGACTGGCGTGAGTCCTCCCTCACCCCTTCCCGCAAGCCCCCGTGGGCACAAAGCAGCTGTGAGGAGGGGAGGTTGTGCATGGGGGGGCGGGGAGAGGTCTGTCTTGGTGGCCCGGCCTGGCGGCGGCGACCAAGGTTGGCAAGAGCCGGGAGGGAGAGCAAGGCCTGGGTGCTCTCCTCCCGGCACCGGCGGCGACGGGGGGGGGGGGTTTGGCAAGAACCGGGAGGGAGAGCAAGGCCCAGGTACTCCGGGTGCTCTCCTCCCGGCAGCAGCGGCGGCAACAGGAGTGGGGGGTTGGCAAGAGCCAGGTAAAATAAAATAAAAATAAAAAAGACTCACAGGCTTCTGCCGCTGCCGCCGCCAGCACACACTCCCTCACCCCTTCAAGCATGCGCCAGCGCGCAGGACTGGGGTGGGCGCGGGGGTGTGCAGGCACTCCTGCGCATGCATGAAGCAGTGAGGGAATGTGCGTGCACTCCCCAACCACTGCGCGCGTGCATTGAAGAGGGCAAGCGCAAAGGGCCGCCCCACCTCCCTCAGAGACTCCCCCGGTCCGCACTAGTAAAAATGTTGGGGAACACTGGTCTAAGTGATACTTGGTGATTCTCTAGTGTTTCCAGAGGAAGATGCTCTTTAGCCTTACTTAGAGCCAGCAGAGATTGAAACTTGCAGTTCTGCTTGTAAATGTATGCTCTGCTACTGAGCCACTGTCTGTTTCCATTTATTTATTTATTTATCTATTTATCTATCTATCTATCTATCTATCTATCTATCTATCTATCTATCTATCTATCTATCTATCTATCTATCTATCTATCTATCTATCTATTTGACTTATATGCTGCCCATCTAAACAATGTCTACCTTGGGCAGCTCACAATAGAATAAAACAATAGTGATATTACAACAATTTTACAAGTTTCACAACAATAGACAATCTTTCAAGATGGAAAGTAAAAGGTAAATTAAGTAATGTCCGGAGGGAAGGCTTGCCTGAATAGCCAGGTTTTAAGTTGGCTTTTAAAAATGCCCAGCAAAGGGGCCAGACAGATCTTGGAGGGGAGATGAGGCATGATCTGTGATCAAAACTTCCTGCATCCTGCATTGCTGGTTGGCACCATTCCTCACCTATCAAGATGGAATGTTGGTAAGTAACTACATAATCCAATCCATCAGGAAGTCTAACTTTTTTTTGTCTGTAGGAATTAAGTGGGCTTGGAACAAGGAAGAGTCTACTGAATCAGTAAGTAATAAACTAGTTCAAGTAATGCATGATCATCTCAAGTTCTTATCATTCAGTTCTTCATTGTAACTGCACCCAAATGGAACCAGAAGCCAATTAGCCAATTTTTCCATTGTAGCAGATCTGGGAAAGGGGCAATTTCCTGGGTGGTGGACCCTGTCTTTAAAAGTGTTTCCCAAAAAGAATTTGATAGGATGCCATCAGCCAGGATGAACTCCTGGGCACTCTAGCCCAAGGATAGTAGATGTGTGGCTCTACTGATATTGCTGGAGTGCAACTGCCATTAGTCCTAATCAGCACAGCTAAAAGTAATAGAAAGTGATGTTCAGCAACATCTGCAGGGCTGTATTTCTCTTTCCCATCTGTCCAGCTGGGGAGTTCTGAGTTGTTTTGCCAAGACACTTACCTTCAGCCTGGCACTGGTGGGGAGGAGGTAGCCAAACTACTGTTTTTGTTTCTTTGCCCAAAACCTACAGTCCTGGTACTTAACATACTGTATGAAAATCCTGTAAAGACAAACTGTAGTAGCCCTTCATTTGGAGAAGAAATCAGTGAGAAGCTCATTTTAAAAAACTGTTGCCAAATATAAAAATATTTGAAATTTATTGGTGGGGTGAGAAACACAGGGGATGACCACAGTCAAACACACGGAATTCTAAATAAATCAGTCAGACTTAGCTAGTTACATATTACCTTGTTGAGTAGAGTCTTGGGCATCAGAACATAGCCAGGGTTCTTCAGTAAGGATGGTCTGAGAGAAGGCCTCCAGTTAGATATTTTTAGAGTGAACAAATTCTTTTATGGAGATCTGAATTCAGTTTCATAAGAAACAATGACTATTACCAAACAGAGCAACATTTTATATTGTTGTTGTTGCTAGTGGTCTAGTCAGCAATCTGAAAGTGTCTTAATGGCTAAATCACCTTCATGAAAATTTCAAATATATCTTTGAAAAACTGCAAGTTTAAACTAGTCTGTTACAAAAAAGAGCTTAAATGCTGAATAGAATCACAGAAGTTAGTTGGAAGAATATCTAAAACAGAGCAAAATTTGATAAGCGTATTTCAGCATAATAAGATGCAGTAAGAGTAGGCCTGCTTGAATTAATGGAACTTACAAAGCAGCTGAATCATGAAATCCCCAGATTAATGAGCCTACTCTACTTTGATTTACTACATTAAGTAATAGATTTTGGGCAGTGTTGTAGACATACTAAATAGAACGTTCTGTGTTCTAAATCTCTACCACTTGAGGAGGGGGAAGCTTCAGAATCTCTGAAGCTTCCTCCTCCTCAAGCGGTAGAGACTTGGATGAGTGCACTTTATCATGTGGACATTTGTTGGTTTTAAATTCTAGACAAAAGTGTTTAAGGTGTGATTGCTTAATATTAAGTACTCACTCTGTTGAAGAAAGAGAGTATGATAGTTGTAGAGATCAGACCTGCATACATCTAATACTTCATTGGAATTGTAGAGTGTTATTGAGAAATATAACCAGTTTAATGGGGGGAAGAAACTAGGGAATCTATGGCCTCCAATCCCTTTGACTGAGTTTGCTATTAAGTTTGATGTTTCTTTCTGCAGATGTATTGAAGAACGATACAAAGCTGTTTGCAATGCTGCTAGAACACGCTCCATTTTGTCTCTGGGAATTGCCTGTTTTAAGCAGCTTCCTGATAAGGTATGATGCTCAGCTAGTTGTGTTCACTCCATGGTTTGTGATTCTGTTGATGAGTTAAGGACATATTCCGTATGGGAGATGGAACATTGCCAGTTAGCTGTAGCCACTGCATATGGATATGGTGTGTATATATAATTGGCCAACAGTGGTTCTAAACCAATAAAGGGGACTTTTATAAAGATAATTTCTTGTATATTACTAGTCTCTATTTTCATATTGTGTTGTTTTCAATTTTGTTCTTCCGCCTGCATTTACAGACAGAGTACACATACCTCTCCCAGATATATAACCTGACTTTGCTGTGTATGGAAGATTATATCATTGAACCGCAGTCAGTTCAGTTCCTGGTGCAACACGGCTTTGACTTCAACAAACAGTATTCTCAAGGCATTCCTTACCATAAGGGCAATGACAAGGTATGAGGGCTTGTTACCCTAGGCATATATTTTCATTTGATCACGTGAATGATTTTTAGCTGTCACTGCATTTTTATTACTTTTTTAAAAAGAAAATGTATTAATAGGTAAGCAAAATGTGAGTACATGCAGAAAGTGATTGTGTAGTAGAAGTGATCTTCCTAGTCTAAACACCTCAGGAGAAATTTATCTGTAATATCGGAGCTGTCATATGGGAATCAGCATTAAATCTTGAGCTCATAGTGATACAAATATTTTGAGTAAAAAGCTCCCTTCTAAATATATAAGACACTTGTTCAAGAATGCTGAGAGAGCAGTGAGAGTCTTGCTGAGCCAAAAAAGATCCCTGGTATTGTTATCCTTCTGAAGAAAAAAAAAGACATTATTGATAACAATTGAATTGATCTGTGTTCTTCATACCAGTTGTTTACCCAGTACTCAGCAAGGACAGACATAAGAACAGCCCTGCTGGATCAGGCCAAGGGCCCATCTAGTCCAGCTTCCTGTATCTCACAGTGCCCCCCCCAGATGCCTCTGGGAGCACACGAAACATCTAGATACCTGTCTCCTGATACCCCTTTATGCCAGGGGTATCAAAGTAATACTTTATGCCAGGGGTGAATGATCTCTGTGGGGATGAGTACCATTTTTCAAATTTCTTGCCAACCAAAGGGTCACACTTTCAAGGTGTTAAGACCAAAGAGGCTACTTTATATACTTATTGGCCAAAATCCTGTTGCTTTGTGTAGTAAATTGCACTACAGTAGGCCTGTTGAATCAATGAGAATTTGGTAAGTTATCTCTGTAAGTTTTGATTCAATGGGCCTTGTTTGAGTGCATCTTACTATGTTAAAGTAAATTGTAGTCAGAGTAGGCCCATTTGAATTAAAGGAAATTTCAGAGGAGTTGACTCATCAAATCTGCATTAATCAATGGGCAAACTCTAAGGCAGTTTATTAGGCTGAGCAAAAAAGATTTTGTCCAATATTTTTGTTTAGTGTTGTTCTTATGTATCCTGAGAGTTGTTACATTAGGTTTTTGTTAACTCAAAAATAGGTTCAGCTAAAGGGAGAGAGAGAAAGAGAATTTTTAACTGAAAAGGCCCCTTCGTGTCTCTGATGTTTTTTTTAAAAGAACGTTTGGAGATGCTGGAGGGGCCTTTCAAGATAAGGCAAAACCACCATCCACATCCCTAGAAGACAGAGTTTTTAAGCAATTTTTTTCTAACTTTTTTTCAAACAAAAAATTGGAGGAGGTAAGCCACAAAATGCCTGAGGCTACAAAAATTCTCCTGGTTACCTATGGGATACACGGGTTACATGTTGCTCATTTCTGCTTCATGCCATTCATCACATTCTGGGTTGGATTGTATTTATATAACATGTAAGGAGTGGATTCTGCTGCCTCAATTTAACTTGTGATGGCAGGGTTGAGCTCTCTGGCAGAGGAGCGATTTCACTGGTAGGGAAAGTAATTGCAGGTGTTCGAAATGAGTTAGGTAACTTCTTTTCCTCCTTCCTCTCTCTGCTCACAGGGAAATGAAAATGTGAGCCAGAGTGCCCGTACTTTCTTCATGGAGCTTATCCGAGCTAGGAAGCCCCTCATTCTGCACAATGGCCTGATTGATTTGGTCTTTCTGTACCAGTGCTTCTACGCTCACTTGCCGGACAACTTAGGCACCTTCACTGCAGATCTTTCAGAGATGTTTCCTGCTGGCATCTATGACACTAAATATGCCGCTGAGTTTGAGGCACGTTTTGTGGCCTCTTATTTAGAGTATGCCTATAAGAAGTGGTATGTATCCCTTTTTAAATAAAGTTGCAATAACCTCGGCAAGCATTCCTGGACATAAGCGAAGGATAATTGCTGGACATCAGACTGCTCTTCTGTTGCATATTATTTTGTACAAGAATAGTGTCTGATTTTCATATGACTGGATAGGAAGAGGGAAAAAGTAGGATTTAGTCTTGTTTGTCTGGAAAAGAAGTTTTTTTCATATGGGTTATTCTTTTTATGCATATTCTTGGGTCAGTGTCATTAATGGCTCAGGGTCTCATGAAATGGCCCTTATCCATTGCTTGGCCTTTGGAACGCTAGCAAAATAAAATTATTATCTGAAGCAGTAAGGGGAAGCAGTCGAATTTCTGAATCCTTTCCTTGACTTTGTTCTTGAGAGTTGGGGTGTGTGAAATATAATTTTGTCAACTTCTCTGCTGGCATTTGTGACACCAAATGTACCTCTGAGTTGAGGCTCTTGCAGTCCTTTTGTGCTCTTGCAAAATGTTTTCAGCAGAAACTTGTGGTATAAAGTTCTGCTAGGTTAGGAAACCCTAGCAACCATAGCTGCTTGAGAAGACTTCTGGGAACTGCAGTCCCAAGAATACTTTGGTTACCCAGGCTGGAAACCCAGACACTGATCGTGGTTAGTACTAGGTGCTGGATTGTGAGTAAAGCTGAAATCCACAAACTTTTGATGGCTATATTACCTATTCTTATCGTTGCTACTTGCTAGATTTCAGGATGGATTTGATTTAAATCAATTTGATTTAAATCCTACTTTCAGAAAACATGGATATTTTTAATGATTTAAATTTTAATTTTTAAAAAAAAAAATTAAATCAATTTGATTTTTAGAAATCATTTTTATTCACCCTGCGGATGCTGAAAACAGTATGGAAAAATAGTCTCTTGGTTCACACTGCCTTTAAGACACTTCATGGCAGGAGAGATTCTAACAGTGTGGAATTAACACTATCATAAGAACATAAGAAGAGCCCTGCTGGATCAGGCCAAGGGTCGATCTAGTTCAGATCCCTGTATCTCACAGTGGCCCTACCAGATGCCTCTGGGAGCATGCAAGACAACTAGATAGCTGTCTCTTGATACTACTCCCCTGCAATTTGAAGTGCCTTCCTTTTAAGCCTGGAGATTATACATCCCCATCATAGATTGCAACCTGCAATGGATTTTTCCTCCAGGAATCTGTCCAATCTCCTTTTAAAGCCATCTAGGCCAGATGCCATCATCACATCCTGTGGCAAGGAGTTCCACAGATTAACAACATGCTGGATAAAGAAATATTTACTTTTGTCTGTTCTCACTCTCCCAACTCTGTTTGAAGGGATGTCCCCTGGTTCTGGTATTGTATGAGAGGGGAAAGAGTTTATCCACTTTATTCATCCCGTGCATAATTTTATACATCTCAATCATGTCCTCCCCCCCTCCCCGGCGCCTTTTCTCTAAAGAGCCCCAAACGCTGTAACCTTTCCTCATAAGGGAGGAAAGCCCAGCCATCATTTTAGTCGCTCTCTTCTGCACCTTTTCCAGTTCCACTGTCTTTTTTGAGATGCGGCAACCAGAATTTTACACAATACAGTACTACAGGTGTGGCTCTACCAGTGTTTTGTACAATGGCATTATAATGTTGGCTGTTTTATTTTCAATCCCCTTTTTAATGATACCTAGCAAGTGCCACCACACACTGGGTTGACACTTTCATTGAGCTGTCCACCAGCACGCCAAGATCTCTTTCCTGATCTGTCACGGACAGCTCACATCACATGAAGCAAATTACAGACCCTCCCTTCCTCCAAATTCTCTGTATGTGGCAGAAAATTGGGGGGGAGGGACAACATTAGCCTCTCCTGCCTGGTATTGGGGGAAGATTCTTATTGTTTCACTTCTCTGTTGGAAGAATGGAGAAGTAGAATTATTTGCTTTGGGTTTGTCGACAGGGTGGGGAAGATGATCACGAAGAATAAATGTGTGACTGCTACTGGCAACCTCATCTATGAAACTCTGGCTTATACATTCCCTGCAGTGTTCTGGGACTAACTGCTATTCTCCATGCTTTTTGCTGCCCACTTGAATTAATTATTAAAGGAGATGTGTGTCTGTTACTGAAAGAAATCTTGGAGATTCTTATACTCTGTATCTATGGGTCAGGTAGCTTAGCAGGAAAAGAAAAATGCAGCTACTCTAATAATACATTTACATTACTGTACATAGAATTAGTCTAGAGGAAGAAATAAGTTTTAATCCCATTTTCCACACATAAAGGGTTTTTCTAGAGTAAGGGTGGGCAGCTTGTGATTCTCTTAATGTTGCTGAGCTTCAGTTCATGTCATCCCTTACCACAAGCTATGTTGATTAGGGCTGATGGGAGTTACTGCCTAACAACATCTGGAGGACCACAAGCTGCATTAGATTTGGGAGAGAGGGTCTGATTTCTTGGCTGTGCTCATCTTCTCACATCCAAATTTTCTTCCATTCCAGCAAGCGAGAAAACTGCAGATTGAAAGACTCCCAAAAGCAGCACCTCATCATAGAGTTCTGCAGCTACCCTGCCAGCATAGCTTCCTATGTTGACTACCGCTTTTGCTCTCTGTCTGATGCCAACCTATCTGGGACTGACACTTCAAACAAAATTGTTATCTGCCAGACTTTTTCGGTATTTATCACTTCTCTCTGCTTTCTATAGCTTAAGAAATGGTTGGCCAACATCTTTAAAACACTGTTACACAGTAGCTGCCACCACCTCTTACCATTAGCAATGTTGATTAGGGACAATGGGAATTGTACTCCACTAATACCTGGAGGACTGGAAGTTGTCCATCTTTGGTTTAGGATTGGAAAAGAAAGACAATGTAGCATAGGAGCTAAAAGAGTTTTGGACTGAAACTTGAAAGATCCATGTTCTAGTCTTGATTGATCCGTGAAACTCAGCAAGTGACCATGGAGTAGTTGTTTTCTTCCATCTCATCTAGATGAAGGCTTTCCATCTCATCTAGATGAAGGCTGTATGTGACCCGGTTGATGCATGGGCTGCTCTCAGCTTCATATATAAGTCAAGTTTAATTTCTGAAGCTAAATGGTTCTTAACAATCAGGTTACATGTACGTGTCACCTGGAGCTATTTAGAGACAAAATGACATAAATGTGATAACATAGCCTCTCAAAACTGCTGCTTTTGTCCCTTGAATGTTGTAAGATAACTTATGGGGACAGTCCATCAAAGATGATAGAACTTTCATGCTTGGTTCTTTCTGATAGCTCTTTGGCTATACATTTGTGCTGACTAAAGGGTGTGGTATACTGATTCTAGGGTGGATTACTTGGAGAGTGGTGTTGCCTTTTAATATGAGAGTAAATTTAAAAAGGTGTAGGTGATCCAGAATATTATTTAAACACTTGTTCTATATGGAGGTCAGCATGCTATGATTCCAGATATTGCAGTGTTCAGCAGTTGAAAACTGCTCTAGGAAGACTAGTCTCACTGATTCATAGGGACCCCTCCAGCTCAGCAGTTCTATGATGACAATGATAATGAAGACTTAATCAGGACTGTTTTTAATCTATACTAATGGGTTACTTACTTTCTTGCAGGCCTATGGCTGGTGTCCAGATGGGGTGAAGTGTTCACAGTCTCACAATATTGATCTGATAATCACTGAGGATGAAAACCACAAAGAGGAAAAACGGAAGAGAAGAAAGCAGAAATGGAAGCGTCGTAAGAATATTGCTGAGCCCTCAGAAAAACCTGAGCTGGGAAGTTCTGAGAAGGATGGAAAGGTGTCTTGGAACGTGGAAGATGGTCCTCCCTCCAAGCTTTCTTGTCCTAACAATAATACTCCTGTTATAGATGGTGTAGTAACAGAGACTACATCTAGTAAAGAGGACAGTTTTATGGATGTGGAACAAGAAGTTAGTTCTGACAGTGCAACTGATGCCAAGACAGATGAGGAACAAGCCAGTGCTATGGACAGTCAGTGCATCATTTCACCATCCGAAGATGGTCAACCGAAAGGAGCAATAAGATCAGAGCAAAAGGCCCAGCTAGAGAATGCAACTGCAACATTCTCCTTGCCTGTCACAGAGAAAACAGTGACACCATTGCCTAGCTGTTCAGAGGGAGGCATTCATAGAGCTGGCTTTGATGCTTTTATGACAGGCTACATCATGGCATATGTACATATGCTGAAACATGGTGAACACAGAAACTCAGGTGAAGGGCCTTGGTTGCCAGACTGTCACAACAAATTGTACCTCAGTGGAAAGTCTGTGCCACTTCAGATAGTGAAAAGTGTGTTTTCAAAATCCTCAAAAGCCCACAACCAGAAGATGAAATTGGCTTGGGCCAGCAGGTAGAACCAGTAGTTTTGCTGTATGGGACTCCTCAGAACAGAACAGTTTCTAGCCATAATCCAGAAACCAAATGAGGACTGTAGGATTCCAAGCAGCTCCTTGGACTAAGTAGCACAATAAAACAGTCTGTGGGTTAATTTTTAAACATCTGAATGATTAAATTAGTCTGTTGATAGATCTTCTCATTCATTTCAAGAGAGAACCTTTACATTCATAAGATCAGACAACTGTCTTCAGTAAAAAGTCCTAATTTGCAGCAGCTTAGTTTAGTCCACGTGTTCATCCAAACAGCATGAAAACTAGCACCTCATTTTTGTAATGTCCATGGATACTCTTGGTACTTCCACAGAATCATTGGCAGGTGTAGATAATACAGGAATTAAATTAGTACAGGACCTTATACCTTCCGTGTTTGTCATGTTTCTGTGTTTTACTACAAGCAAACAGAGCTGAAGTGCCAGTCGTTACGTGAATAATACTAACATGCACATGTTTGGTGTAAATAAGAGGTGAAGGGGGAAAGGGTGACTAGCACTGTGTCTATAGTCTGCCAGTGGAAGTTGCTATTAATATCCAACCTAAATTGATTTAAATCAAGATTTAAATTTAAAATTGGATTTTTAAATTATTTAAATCAAAAAATTAATTTTTAAAATTTAAAGTATGATTTAAATCAATTTGATTTTTAAAAATTGTTTAATTTTATGCACTCTGCATATCAGACAAGGAGGCTATGTCTGAGCAAGCATGGTACACTGGGCACTCGCGAGTGGGTGTGTTCCATTCTGGCAGGTGAAAAGAAGGAATCCACTAGAATGGGTTTATCTGATCAGAATCTTTTATACATGCAATTCTGCAGGAAGGAAAAAAGTACAGACAAGGAAGCCAAAAAGAGAAAATCTGTCAGGTGAACATCTTAGAGGTGGCCTCAGATAATCCTGTAGTGGTGAAACACTTTTTCCTCCAAAATATACATCTTGCCATCCCACTTATACTCAAAGCAAGAAGCAGAGCCAGTCTGTAGTGAAGGGACCCCTGAGGAAACAGGTCCAGTAAAGATGGGAGAAACCAAGGTGGGGACATGGCTAGACAATGGATTTCTGAAAATCATGGTCTCCTCAGCCATAACGAAGCTACTAGGTCAGCCTGTTCCTGTTCCACAATTCTCTTGCAAATAACTTATGCCAGAAGCAGAAAGGGAGGAAGGAGGTAAGAGAGCTGAGGATCACATGGGCTTAAGAACACTGAGTCCATGGAGGGTCACTGATGGCCTGTGAAGAAATTCCACAGCTTCTTGTTCACCAGAAAGGCAAACATTGAGTTCTAGCAGGGTGAATATTTGGCAAAAGATGTCAACACCATAGCTCTAATCCCATGGTAGAAGCTGCATTCTAAGGAAGTCTGCTTATGTGTTATGGAGTCCCTGCAGATGCTGAGCAGAGAGGAAAGCCAAGCTGCATTTCAGCCACTGGAATAGCAGCGATGCTTCCTTGAGCAGAAATGGACCTGGATCCCCCTTGCTCTGCAGCGTAGGATTTCAATTAGTTATTGTCATTTCTCACTGTTCTCACTTAGACCAGGATGCCCCCTGAGGAGGGTATTTTAAAATGTTAGAAAGCATTACATGCTGCCTGAATTCCAGCCAATTTGTGCTGTGGATGACTTCTGAAAATCATAAACCCTGCATAATGTGACTTTTGTAAAGGACTTCCCATCACAACAGGCATCCAATGTAACTAGGAACTTCTTTTGAACTACAAAGGGAAAACCTCTAGAAATGTTTATTTTGAGATTCCACCACATGTGGGAGAGTTTCACTTATTTGGGAAGAGGAACTGGCACCTTGAGCTTGTGAGTGATGCGGCTAAAGGAAGAATTGTAGAAGCTGGTGAGAAATCTGGCTCAGAATGATTTGGATAGAGAAGATTATGAGCCCCAGCACATGTGTCTGGGAAATGAGAGGAAGGAGCCTGGAGAATATAGTCCTCTCTACCTTGGCAGGATAGAGGAAATTCTGGCTGGAAAAAAAATTATAGCTTTCTGGGTATTGATTCTGGCACCCAGATGAACAAGCTGTTGAAATGGAGAGAGAAGAGCACTTGCTAAGAAATCACAATCATGTAAGCATTCGGTGTCAGATAAATATTTTCCTCAGCCTTGTCAACACAAAGGGTACCCACACCAAGAAGTTCTCCAAATATGGATAAACATGCAACCCCTGAAGGGGAAAAGTGCTCCCATGAGTTTAGTGAATACAGTGATGCTTAAAGCCAGGTCAAAGGTTACTGCCCTGAACTGAAAGTACTTTGTATTCTAAGCAAAATGAAGGAAACACCTGCACCTGGGAGCAATAAACATCTGAAGATGCACTTTAGTGAAATCCACTGAGGATAAGAAATTCTCTTTTTGAAGAAATCCTTGAATCATATAGAGCACTGGTTCTTAACCTTGGGTTACTCAGGAGTTTTGGACTGCAATTCCCAGAAGCCTTCACCACCAACTGTGCTGGCTGGGGTTTCTGGGAGTTGCAGTTCAAAAACATCTGAGTAACAAAGGTTAAGAACCAGTGATATAGAGGATCTCCATTCAAAAACATGTGCAGGCTATGAAGTAAAGATACTTTAGATTGAGAAAGTAAGCTTCAGTCAACCCCAGCACAAGAAACAAAAGATGGAACTGCTCTAACGACCAGGCACTGCTGAAGCCTCTGAGAAATAAAAACTTATTTTTGGTGTGCATGTGGCCAGAGAAGAACATTGGAGAATGCTACTACGTAACCTTCAAAAAGTATTTGGAGGACCCACTTGTCAGAGGTACAGTAGTTGTGGAACAGTTTTGCACAAAGAATAGAAGCCAGCCCTATTTTTAGAGCTGGAGTATTGAGTCAAAATTGGCACTTTCCACCACAGGAAAAATGGGTAGCATTTTTTCTTCAGATGGGAGGCAACTGATCTCTTACAGGAAAATGGGACTTAGACCAGGAAGGCCTGCTTGCAGTTTTTCAAAGTTCTGTTTATTCCCAGAAAAAAAAGGAACAGGCCTCTAACTCTGATATTATTTGTTTAATGAACTATCTGAAGGATCCACAAGAGCTCTGGTACGATACTTGCAACTTAAAATGGCATAAAACAGGGCCCATTTGCTGCCGTGTATAAGATCAGACTGACTAAGGCCCCCAATCCCAAACAAGAAAACAGCACACTTAGGGCCTATGAGATTGCTTGTGGGGGATCTGACTGGAGAGGGTGGAGAAACAACACCAGTTGAAGACCCATGATGGGAATAGCTTGGTAGAACCATGGTTTCTGTATCTGCCAATGTGAAACAAAATCAAAACGGCATTATATCTGTAGGTTGGAGAAAGTGGTGGGAACTGTAGGGGAAAAGCATGTACAGTACTTGGTTGACTTAGAGGAGCCTTGTGGCACAGTGGTTAAACTGTAGTACTGCAGCCAAAACTGCTCAAAGTCAGAGTTTGATACCAACAGATCTAACAGATGGTTCATATTCACTCAGCCTTCTGAGGTTGGTAAAATGAGTACCCAGCCTGCTGAGGGAGGGGCAATGTGTAGCCTATATAATAAAAAAACTGTAAACTGTCCAGAGAGTGCTTTAAGCACTATGGGGCCATATAGAATCAGCACACTTTTTAAAGCGGGAAACTGCAGCCTCCCAGAGGTCTCCTTTGTCTGACTTACCTTATTTTGTGCAGGGTGGAAAGTGCTGCTGCCTCAAAAATTAAATGGACAAGAAGGGCTGGTGCTGGTTTCCATCACAATCTAGGGAGAAAGCTAGGGAGGGGAGCCTTGTGGATCCATGTAACAAGCACTGCAGCAGCTGTTTCAGTGGCTGCATGTTGTTTCTCAATGTTAATGTGAACTTTGATTCATCAGGTGCCTTCTCACGTTTGGTGGGCAGGGAAGTCCTGCTACCTTCCTCAGTCAGAAACATCTGAGAAGGGTACCAGAAGGAGAAAGGTTTTCGTAGAGAAAAGAGGATGACCACAGAAACTGAGAAGAAAACTGAGCTAGAGGAAAGACCAAAAAGAGAGAGAGAGAGAGAGAGAGAAATCAGAAGGGCAAAACTAAGGAGACACATATGACAGAGCTTGCATTGAGGATCTGACTTCAGGAGAGCCAGGAAATGAGACTTTTGGAAGAAGTTTGAATCCAGTTAAAGCTCTCAATGTCACTTGGTTCTGCCTCTTGATCTTGACAGTGGTAGGATTAACCCATTCTATGGACTCCTTTTCTGCACTGTCCAGAGAATAAGAACAGGGTTCACCAAAACCCTGAAAGACCACATCAGAGTATGCTAAGTATACTCTATATTCTTTTTCTTCCCTAAGCTTTTCCTTGTTTGAGTTCAAGCATGTTCAACATGATCTAACTTTCAAAACTGAGATTTCATAAAAAGAAGAAATATTTCTGAACAGAAGAGCAAGTGAGCAATAAACAGGACTTTAGAAACTGGAGGTCCTGTGATAAACTTCTCTACTGTTCAAAAGGCAGAAAAAAGTTTGCAATGTCTTAGACCACTGCAGTGTTATTATTACTGCCTTCCTCAGTCAATTTTTGCTCAGAACACCATCTCTTGATATCCCTGCATCAAGACATGTAGTGCACGTCCCCCTGCCTTAATGAAAGCTAGTATATCCTCCTGGCTGTATTTACTTATTAAAAGCTTTGATCCTAAGTGATCTTCTTCATTTAGCCTTTCCCCCTTTGTTTCACTTCTTGTTTCACTGCTTGCTAATATTAAATCCTGGGATATACCGCTATATTACCTGCTAAAGGTACTTCAGTAGCCAGCAGATAAGAGTGTTCAATTATTTCCTGCTGTGAGATTAGATCACTGGTAAATTACAAGTCTTTCCCCTGAGCTACTGTATCTCTCTTTTTATCCCCGGTGCTTCATTTGCATGGCTGGGTACAGCATCTGGGCTTGCTTAAGAAAATCCACAATTGTGCAAGGAGGAGGAGTAGAAGACACAGCTCATTAACCCTGGGATATAGAAAGTGATAGGTTTCTTTTAGGAGTCTGTAGCAAGTCTGTACTTTCCTGACTGTTGCTTCCTAATTCTCATGAGGGAATAATGCTAAAGTGCCTGGAAAATGTAATAATGCTAAGATCCTTTCCCCAGTCCAAATGCTAAAAGAGAAATTAAAGGTTT